AGGGTCGAACCTCCTCCACTCCCTGTACTTAATCACTCACTCGCGTGTTTAACTAGTCACGTAAAATACCAAGTCTAATAACCTTATCCCTTACCCCAGGAAAGGTATGCTGACCGGATGCCTGAGCATCAACCAAGTGGAAGCTGTACACTTCGGGACGTACAGATGCGTTATCTCCAACCACTACGGCATCTACGACAGGAATTTCACTCTTGTCGAAGGAGGTGAGTTATGAGAGCTTGGGAGAGAACATCGAAGTGGTAGGAAGAAGAAAAACCTTGATGGCTGTGAAAGACTAATCTAAGACTTCCTCAAGGGAGGTTCCCTGACGTTCTTGATCTAGGGTACTGGATCTGTGCTACAGTGTCCTAAATTGAGCCTGAATGCCTTCCATCCCTTCTCACCACAGGCGCTGTATAATCCCTACGGGTTTAGCGCTCCCCATGATAATAAGCCTTGCTTGACTCCCAGTTCCTTCATTACGTTCAGCTGTACACCTGTTCGTCGGTGCAAATATTTAACCAGCCAATCACGTGGCAGTACCTCAATGCCTAAAATCATGGCATGCAGACATGGTCAAGAGGTCCAGTTGTTGTTCATACCAGATGCCAGAATGGGGAATGACTCTGACCGTGGAATGATTGTTGGTTTCAAACTGCATGATTTAAGTTTCACAAAAGCTGTTGATCTGAGATTTTCAAGAACAACAATCCCTACAGATGACAGAGAATAGAGTGAAAAACAAAATATCCAGTGAACAGCGGCTCTGTGGGCGAAAATGCCTTATTAATGAGAGAGGTCAGCCTGGTTCAAGCTGACACGAAGGCGACAGTATCTCAAATAACCACTCATTACAACAGTGGTATGTAGAACAGCATCTCTGAACGCACAACGCCTGGTCACAGACCGGGCCGCGGGGGCGTTGACCCCCCGGAGCTCTCTCCAGTTAAACACCAGGTAAACACGTCGAACTGTGAAGTGGGTGGTTAAAGACGACACCAGGTTCCACTCCTGTCAGCTAATAACAGGAAACTGAAGCTACGGTGATAGTGGTGGTGGTAGTGGTAATGGTTTCCTGACATAATGCCAATTGTGCATCATTTCAGTGCCACACTGTACCTGATTCAGACCGTTCTGGGGCAAAGATGAGGCCCCTACCCAGCACTAGAAGGGAGTAAAATATTCTCTAAGTGTATATTGTTCGTGCTTCTTTCAAATCCATATTTTCTAATATATAACAATTGTGGAAATATTGTCTATATATTGCTAAACAATTCAATTTATTGTTTGTCTGGCTATGTGACCCTTATGGGTTTAGCGCTCTCCATTAATATAATAAAAAAGAAATATTGCGTGTTGCCGTGTTAGTACCAGAGTTGCAGGCGATCACTGAGCAATATAAGATGGCACTGGTGGTGATAGCGGCTTTGGTGGCACTGGTGATGGTGGCACTGTGTGTGTGGTGCCGCTGGAGACTCCAACTGGCGCTCTACTGCCGTCGCAACACTGCCAGCATCAAAGGTACGGCTTATTGGTACTCTAGTGTCATAGGTACGGCTTATTGGTACTCTAGTGTCATAGGTACGGCTTATTGGTACTCTAGTGTCATAGGTACGGCTTATTGGTACTCTAGTGTCATAGGTACGGCTTATTGGTACTCTAGTGTCATAGGTACGGCTTATTGGTACTCTAGTGTCATAGGTACGGCTTATTGGTACTCTAGTGTCATAGGTACGGCTTATTGGTACTCTAGTGTCATAGGTACGGCTTATTGGTACTCTAGTGTCATAGGTACGGCTTATTGGTACTCTAGTGTCATAGGTACGGCTTATTGGTACTCTAGTGTCATAGGTACGGCTTATTGGTACTCTAGTGTCATAGGTACGGCTTATTGGTACTCTAGTGTCATAGGTACGGCTTATTGGTACTCTAGTGTCATAGGTACGGCTTATTGGTACGCTAGTGTCATGAGTACATCTTATGGTAAGACAGTCATGAGTGGGTCGCATGGTACGCTGACCCGGGAATACACGCTGATTGGTCTGTATCTAAGTCTATATACACTGAACAGACGTGTATCCCTCAGTGCAAACCCAGAGGGGATACACACCTGCTTAGTGTGCATATCCCAGTGTATATATACTGAGAGTTTACTTAATACTCTTTTTAAGTGTTGATGATAAAGCTTAAGAGGGCTGCAACCTTAAGTAACTTTAGCAAACTAACCCTTGGTTTTTAAGTCCATCTAACTCACCTGTGTCTGCTTAGAAGTGTTTCACGTGCTACTGATCATTGCATAGCGGATGTTTTCCTAAGGGATCGAATGCTCTTGAGAAAACGGATGAAAGTGTTCTCATCTTTGGGTTCACGTGCCACACGGGTGTCAGTGCCTCATCAGTGTGTCGATAGGATATTTTTTAAGTATTGATGTCTCGTGTGTTGATGACAGGGACACTTTTCGGTGCTCATCTGTATGTTGATGTTGCTGTGCCTTGGTGCT